GTTTGCCCAAGATCACACCGCTACTGAGTGACAGTATTAGAACGCGTGCTTCTGGAATCTGAGAAAACTTCAAACTGCCTCTATCTCAAAACAGCGCTATTTCTGGTATGAAGAGTTGCAGCTACCTAAACAATATCAAGTGTCTTCCTCCTAGCAAAGGAACAATGTGGAGGGAGGGAGGGAAGCGAAGAGGGATCACTGGGGCGGGTGGCATCGCTCAGAGCCGGCTCTTCATATATTTAAACAAGTAAGGAGCCATGGGGCTAACAAAGAGTCTCCTTTAGAAACGGAAGTACCTCCTGGGAATATTATACCTGTTTCAGAGACACCCAGACTAGCCAGATGAACCACAGGAGTTCATGGGAGTTGCCCAGTGCAGCAATTCAAGTGTAGAATGTTTAACCACAGGTCAAGAGGTCTTTAAAAATAAGGTGTTCTGTATGCAATGGAAGAGCATATAGCAATGAGAATAAATCAGTATCAACCACATGAATAGATCTCCCAAACATAAGTGAATGAAAGAACTCCAGACACACCAAAGAATGCATACCAGATGACTCTATTTTATAAAGTTCAAAACAGGCAAACCTAATCCCTGGGTTTTTTGTTTTAGGGTTTGAGTTTTGTTTTGTTTTGTTTTTGTATTTTATTGTTTATACTTTAAAGCAGGATTCTGTTTACCTTTGGGTAGGACGGATAGAGGGGTGGAGGTAGGGAATAAGACAAAATGTAGGTATTTACTACTTTTTTTTTTTGCTTCTGGAAACCCTGAATAGGGGCCCCAGACCATGGAGTCAGACAGAGCTGATTCTGCAGCTAACTGACTTTGAGCAAGTACCTTCAACTTTCTGTGCCTCAGGTTTCTCCATCTATAAAATGGGGCTAATGATACCTTCCCCAAAGTGTTGGTGTGAGAAGTCAATGAAACAATGCATGCGAAGGGCCGGGTGGCCTGTGAAGGCGCTGTAATACATGGCAGATGTGATCATCCTGCCCCTGCTACCTATGGCTGAGCAGAGCCAGAAAACAGATAGGAAAGAGCGAGACAGAAGCAAAGAGGAGTACCCAACTAGCCTGATGATCAAAGACGTGCAGGGTCCACAGGATGCCATACAGAGAAGGCTGTTTCTCCCCTCCCCACTGCCCACAGCAACCCCCAGAACATGTTGCCTGCAAGAGCAGGCCAGCCCCACGCAGCCCAGACAAAGCTGTCTGGGGCCCGTGCATGCAGGCCCATGCTAGGGCACATGATACCTACTAGTCTGATAAACTGGTGTGCAGTGATGCTCTCATCATGGCTGCTGGCAGCTTACTGGGTTACCCTCCAGGTTAAGCAGGGTTTTTAACCAGAGCCTATGAACAGACGCACAAGGCCTTGACCCAGGCTGGGTGGAATCTACCTTACCCCAGGTCAGCAAGGAGCCAGGCATCTCTAAGGTGCCCACACAGGGAATACTGGTTGGAAAGCGGAAGGAGCGAACTGCGGAGGTCCACAAAGTGGATGGGCCTTAGGGCTCACGCTGAAGGGGCAAAGCCAGACTCAGGAGAGACTACCTGAAATTGGGACCAGGACACATTTTGTCAGGAAGCCTGGGGCTAGAGGTGGGATTGACTGCAAAGGGCACAAGGGAATGTCCTAGGTGATGAAAGTGTTCTGTAATTGAAGGAGGTGGTGGTTACCAGGGTGTATACATTGGTCAGAACCTATTGAACTGTACACTTGGAATGGGTGCAATTAATTTTATGCAAATTATCCTGTATATAATTGCTTTGAAAAGAAAAAAAATAAATGCCTTAGTCACAGATGTTGTTCCACTGCAGGAGTAACCTGGGAGGCCTCAGCAACAAGAACCTTGGTAAGTCATATGTAGCCTTGTGGGGAGACAAAAATAACTTTTCTCCCACCTTCCAAGTTCTAGCTGAGCTAATAATCAAATTAACAGGAGACAGATTAACAGGAGAACATGTTCACAATTTATTACAGATGCACATGGGAGGTGGGGCAGGGGGAGGGCTGCCATGAGACATGAGACCCAAAAACCCATTGGGAAGTTGAGGTTTATATGCCATTTTGAACAAAACGAAGGGGTAGAGATTTGAGATTTTAAATGGAAAGCAGGTAATTCACAGGTAAACAAGAAAGAATAGATATGTGGCCAATGAATACTTGAAGGCCTACCCAAAAGCAGTGGGACTCAGGCAAGTTCAACAGGCAGGCTCTGCTAGGCTTCTCCCTGCCAGCCACATTCACCTTATTGGTAGCGTGAGGCCAAGATGAAGCTCCCTTCCTTTGATCAAGTTTTTCTATCGGAATTCCTTGAGGGAGGTAAGGGAAGAAGGCCAACGATACTTTCTGAGTCTTTTATTTCTTAATAACCAGCTTAAAGTCAATATCCCTAAAGGCCTATTTGGGGGTGGTGAAACGTTGGTTTCCCTTCAACCTGTCATTGTTCCAGCACATTAACCTCTGTCCAGAACTTACAGCTCCCAAAGCACTTTCTCCTCTTTGACTCATCACAGTGGATCCTACTTTACAGCTAAGGAAACAGAGGCCCAGCAGGATGGAAAGAGCTGGCCCAAGTCTTCTGACTGCTAATCCCTCCTCCTTTCCTGGAAATGGCCTCAGAGATCAGCCAGGTTGAAGGAAATTCAGGTCTAGAGCACATAAATACCTTAACAAAAGCTGAGCTGCTAGTTGAGGACCCAGGCCAAATGGAAGGCATGCCTCCTCCCACAGCAAAGGGAATGAGGAATTGTCAACTGGAGTCATGCTGAATGCAGCTAGAAGGTGGGCTTTCACTCCTCCCCCCCTACCCCCACCCCCGCCCACCCGCAACCCTCCCTGACCCAGGACCAAGAAGCAATCTTAAACAAAAGCAAGGATCCTGTGACTCCACCTCCGCCTGCCCCAGCAGCCCCCACCCCACCCCCTCGAGTCCCCAGAGTCTTGTAACTTTAACAAACTACAGCAACGCGCACATGCATTACCTCACCACAAGTCTGGCTGATTTCCTAGCAGCAATTGTCCAAAGCTTGCTCCATTTCCCCCCTCCTGTTGGCTGTGCACCCTTCGCCCATTCCTCCCCGCTGAAATCACCAAGCTCTGACCCCTGTGAGTCTGCAGGGCGCTCCACCTCCTCCCCGAAGGCCTCCACTAGAAAGAGGCCCCTGGTGCAGAGTGGTTGGATTCTGCGGCCCCTCTGCATGTATATTCTAAAACTATGAGTATGTGTGAGAGTAGAGGGGGAAAACTGATGGCATGCACATAGGGGAGAAAATTCTGGGAGAATCACAAGGTACAGTTGATGGGGGTAAACTTTGGGGACAGGAATTGGAGGGTGGGAAGAAGGGAATTCAACTTCCCCTTCTGTTTCTTTTATGTTCCGCATAAATTTTCCAACCAATTTACTGCACTATATTTACGTATTCATGGCAATAAGGATAGTGGGAGTTTGGACATTACAAGCCCTTTTCTTTATACACACACACACACACACACACTGAGAAGTCTTCATTTTTTTAATTATTTATTTATTTATTTTAGAGAGAGGGGCAAGTGGGAGAAAGAGAGGGGGAGGAACATCAATGTGTGAGAGAAATATCAATTGGTTGCCTCTTGCAAGTGTCCCATCTGGGGGCCAGACCTGCAACCCAGGCATGTGCCCTGACCAGGAATTGAACCAGCAACCTTTGGTTTTGCGCACGATGCTCAACCCACTGAGCCATGCCAGCCAGGGCGAGAAGTATTAATTTTTGAAAATGAAATAAGCACCTAGAATGCATCTCCTCCCTTCCTCCACAGTGACTGAAACATGCAACAACTTAAATAATAAAAAAAAAACTATGAATGATTCACCCTAAATGAGATGGAGCCAGGGAGGGGTGTAGAAAGCAGGGCCCCAGGAGCAGAGGCTGCTGCCCATTCTCAGTGAATGCGTCACTCCTCTTTGAGCCTCTGTCACCCCTGTTTTGCACCTCCACTGGGGTCCACCCCTGCCTGACATTTCAGTCACCTGTGTGTTTGCTTTATGTCCTGACCCTCAATGCTCCTCAGACTAATGGTTTGCTTAGGGCAAGGCAAGAACTACTTACTCTTTGATGTTTTCAGGCTTAATGCATGGAAAGTGAAAACGGAATAAGCAGCTATTAAATATAATAGAAGGCCCTTCCCGAGCGGTTGGGAGGTCTGTGGATTGACACCATTAAGTCAGGTAGGGTGAACACAGGCTAGACCCCTTGGGTCTCAGAACCCCTCCTCTTGTCGGCTCTGTAAAGGGCAAGGTAAGTTCAAATGCCCTGCCGTGTTCACAAAGACCTTCCCTGCTCTGGCCCACGCCTGCACCTACCTTTCTGCCTGGCTCCCAACATAAACCCTGTGCGCCAGCAGTCAAGCTGGTCCATTCACCACTCCCAGGACGCACCTAGAGGCTCCCTGCCTTCGGGCCCTTGCTCTTGCCGTTCCCAACCTCTGCCACTCAAAACCCAACTCACAACGCCTCCTTCCAGAAGACTCACCTAAAGTGCCCCGCCAGCCAAGTTTGCTTCCAACCTTCCAGGTGATTCTCTAAGGGCAGACCCCACCCTATACTGGGGTTATCTCAGCCTTCCCCTACTGGAGCATAAGCCTCTGATTTCCTCGTGTCTATTACAGTGCTGGGCCCTGAAGAGAGGGAGAACTACTTGGCGTAGTTTAAGTCCAAGGTAGAATTAGGCTAAAGGCTGGATCAACACTGGGTTGGTAGGGTTAGAACTAGGACTGGGTGAGTCGATTCCTAATCCCACCCACTAGGCGGCGTCGGCAGTCTCATTCTGGTCAAGACGCCTCCGGTTTTAGAAGTTTATTACCTGTCGAACAAGTTTCCTTCCTTCCCTACTGTCCCTTTAAGAAGGTGATCCAGGTGAGGCCGGGACTCCGCCCCTCCGGAGGCGGCCCCGCCCCCCACCCCCACAAGGCCCGCCTGACTCCCCCCTAGTCCTCGCGACCTGGCCCAGCAGTCCGGGCCACTGTCCCAGGTCCCGGCCCCGCGCCATGGAGCGGCGCTGGCTCCTGGGGCTCGGGCTGCTGCTGCTGCTGCTGCTCTGCTCCCCGCTGCCCCCCGGGGCGCGCACCAAGGAAGGTACAGACCCCCGCCCCGAACCACCCTCTCCCCTGGGCCGGCTGGCACCCTCCTCCAGGAGCCGGCATTCCTGAGGAGGCCTCCCCTCGCGCCCCTCTCCAACGCTCTTGTTTTATCGGCCGCCAGGGCATCGACTGGCCAGGCCAGTCTTTGGTCTTTGACCCCGAACAGCTGCTTTCACGGGCCAGTCACCGCCCCGCTGGGCAACAGTTTGCAACTGGAGGTGGGGTACAAGGAGCAGCCTCCAGACCCCCACCCCAGCAATGGCGGGCGGGGCGGGGGAAGGGTGGTCCTCGTGACTGGGCAGGCTCTGCCTCAGGTGCCCAATCCAGAGATCTGAACCCTCCGCCGTGGGAGGTGGAAGTCGCTTTATTGTCATCCTAAGCCGGGGACACAGAGTCCTGCCGCTAGGGAAGGGTTGGAACTCGGGGTGTAGGGGCTCCGGGATGTGGAGGTCAAGCTTTCCACAGGCAGGCTGGCCCACCTCTCCAGCTCTGTCACCCAGACTCACCTGACTCAGAGCTGTGCATGGTCCCCCCTCCACACCCCCGATCTCAGGCAGAGTGGGCCCTTTGCCAGTGGCAATGGGAGCCTGCCACTCCGAAACCACCTTTAAGGTCCCTGTCCACATTCTACCCATTCATGATGCCCACAGGCTGAGCAGCTGTCTGGCCCATGCGCCCCTCCATTCTGCAGCAGATGGGCCCCCCGCTGAGTGAGAGGGTGCCAGTGTTCTGTGCAGCAGCTCTTCCCAACGCTTCCTACGTTGACTTTGGTCAAAGATCCAGCCCTCCAACCCTTGCCCCACTTTGCCTCCTGTCACACTCCAGAGGACAGCAGGCTCTTCGTCCCTGGAGCTCTTCACTTCTTCCTGGGCCATTTTCCTCCCTGGAGCCTCAGGAAGTCCCAGCTCTTAGGAGCAGGATGTTGGAGCTTAGGGGCCAGGGGCCCAGAATGAGGAATGTGGGCTGCATGTGAGGGGCCTCCTCCCGCAGAGGTGACAGGCCCCTTTCCTCCCCACCTTCAGTCACTCTGATGGACACAAGCACCGCTCAGGGAGAGTTGGGCTGGCTGCTGGATCCCCAGGATGGGGTAAGTGTCAGGGGAGGGCAGGACTCAGGATGGCTCAAGTCTGAGGGCCCAGTGGGAATCGGGTGGAGAGGTGGGTGGAGGAACAGGAGAAAAGAGCAGGAAAAACTGGAAGTGCCTCCTCTGGAGGGGGAGGGGAGGTGACTCACAGACTCCTGAATGGGACATGGCGGGGGTCAGGCTTCACCCCATGGGGAATGCTTCAGTGCCTGGCTCCACCTCTCCTGCCCCAGGGAGATGGGGCTGAATCCTCCTGAGGACCACCTGGGGAAGAGAAGGGACCGGCCTGGGGATGGTTGAGGGCTGAGACCTGAACAGAGACGTGCCCTCACTCTGGACACTGAGGTCCTCTCATCCCAATGGAGCTGCCCAGATAAGCTCCAGGGTATCAATCCCAAAGAAGCATAGTCAGAGGTGTGTATGTGTATGTGGACATTTTTTTTTTTTCTGGACAGGAGAGCCACAGTTTTGGTCACATTCTTCATAGGCACGGTGACTCTCCCCAAAGTTAGAAGCAGTCTCTGTAGAGGTCCCTGAGCCCGTGGCACCCCTTCCATCCTCCCCAGGGCAGGCACACCATGCATTCCAGCTGCTCCAAGTCCCTTGGATACTCCTCAAACCCAGGGAGCAGAGGTCAGATCTTGTGAGTCCCAGAGAACACCTTCTGGCCACTGTGCAAAGCTGTCCAGGAACCAAGCGAGGCTGGCCCAGTGGCCGCCGCCCAGGACTCTGGCCTTAGGCCACTCTTCCCTCTGGTCCTAAACCCCTTTCTCTGGGTGTCCCCTTTTCCCTTTCCTATCAGCCTCTGTTTCTGGGGTTGGGGTGACTTGCTTCCTTTCCCTCTGTGCCCTAGGGTCCTGGATCAATCTCAGCTCTCCCACAGAGTAGCCTGTAATTAGAATTAATAGACTAAACCATAATGTATCCTACAGGAGGGGCTGCTTGGAAAATCCCAGATTAGGCCAGCCCTAATAGGTGCCTCATCCCATAAACCAGCTAATCATTCCACAGAGAGGGCTCCAGGCCCACCTGCGGGCTCCTACAGGCCTTCACTGTGCCCCTGCCACCTACACCCAAACAACTCTTCCCTAATTGGGCCCAAGAGGAGGCCAGGCGCCTTTCGCAGCTCAGGCTGAACAGCGCTAGGAGGACAGGAAGACAGCAGCAGTCACACACTCCCACTGTCTTCCTTGTCCTCGCTCCTCATCTTTTCAAAACACACACTCAGGTCCAGACTCCCCAGAATGTACCCACGTAGCAGCCAGCAGCGCCTGAGTGATAAGTGAAAGGATCCTTGTGGCTGATCCCGGGCAGCTGGTCCTCCCCATCGCTCACCGCTGGAACCCGGAGAGGCGAGTTACAGCTGGGAACATCTGCTTCTCCTGGCTCCAGCTGCAGGCAGGCTAATGAGCTGCACATTAACCACCCACCGCCCTCCCACCTGCCCTCCCACCTGCCCTCCACCGCCTGCCCTCCACCGCCTGCCCTCCACTTGGCTTCCTCTCGCAGCTGCCTCTTGTGCACAGGCTCTGGGTGCCTTCTCTCGTCCCAGCTTCAGTGCCTCTAAATCCTCCACCCAAACTGTGAACTCCCCAACATAATGCAAAAGTCTGCCCCTGCCCCACACCACCGCACATTTATAGTTTCTTGCCTTTTCCCCACTGAGCAGAGACTAGCCATGAATTAGTGGAGTGAAAGGCTTGGGAAAGTGAACTTTCTCAGGTAAAGGCCTCCTAGTCTCTTCTCTATAAACTAAGGGGGTTGCAACCCAAATATCAAAGGAATATTTTATAGAATTTTGGAGTTTCCTTCTTAAGTTCATCTGGCAGGGAAAATACTTTTGAATAGCTAATTTTTTTTTAAAGGATTAATGAAAGGGGAGACTTGCCTACATACAAGAATACTCAGGTCAATGGAACAGAATAGAAAAGATCAAAAACAAGTCCAAGTATATGAGATTTTAGTATGGGATAACATTGGAATTGCAAATCAACAACTTGCAATTGCAATAAGTTCATCAATGAATTGATAATTGGATGCCTAAAACTTTTTTTTTAAAGGCAAAATTGCATCTTTACACCATCCCCCCCCCCCAAAAAAAGGAGGATCTAGGAAGATGAAAATTTAAGCTAAAAACCAAACCTATAAAAATATTAGAAGAAAATGTAGATCTTTAAAAGTTTGGGATGGGAGAGCTTCCCAAATAAAACACACAACCCCAAAATCATAAAGGGAAAGACTCTAGATATTAGTATATAAAAATTTTAAATATATGTCAACATCAAAGACATTATTAGCAAAGTAAAGTGGCATGACAGGGAGAAAATATTTGAAACGTGCATTTCAAGCAAATGGTTAATGTCTATAATATTTTTAAAAACTTATCCAAATGAATGAACAATCAAAAGATAACAATAGATCATCCCAGTAAATTCCATTAAAAATAAGTAAATAAAAAATCAAGAAAAAAGAAAACAGTAGAATATAAGACAACAGATGATTGCATAAAAATATAAATGGCCAGTGAAGAAGAGAAGCATACAACCTCATCTCAAAGAAATGTATATGAAAGTGGCAAGAAGCTGCACTTTGTCTATAAGACTGGCCAAAAATAAAATTATTAATATCCAGTATTGATGAACTTTACAGAAAATGAGCTCTCAGGCATTGTTGGTGGAAGTATAAATCGATAAAGTCTTTGGAGGACAATTTAGCAAAATCTTATAAAGTGTATAATATGTTTATCCACTGATACAGCAGTTCAAAAGAAGTCTTATAGAAATCTGTGTATGTTTACCTTTTAAAAAACTGGATGCTCAACAATAGGTGAATGATTAGATAAATTTTGGTACATATCTACAGTGGAGAACTATTTTATGAATTGCTAAAAAGAATGAGGTAGATCTATATACCTGCATGTGGATACTTTCAAAGACTTTTGGTTAAAAACAGTATTTACAGAATAACACCTGTATGTTTTTTGTTTTTTTTTAAATTTATATTCAACACACACAGCAAAACATTGAAACAGTGGTCTAGAGGCACTGAAAACGACCTATAAAGTTCTGCTCCACATCGTTGGGTGGCTTCCTCTGTGCGGTGGATGGATGGGAGAACTTTCACTTTTTAATATATGTAAATTTTGGCTCTTTGATTTTATAATAAGCACATAGAGACATACTGATTAACAGTATAAACTCAGGAGCCTGGAGGGCCTGGGTCCCCGTCCCAGCGCTGCCTCTTAATAGCTGAGTGCCTTGGGCAAGTTATTTAACCTTGCTGTGACTCAGTTTCCTCGTGGGAAGAGCTAGCCATTACTAAGTTTAAAACTTCTTTTAAAGTAAACAAAATGAAGGAGGGGTGGACTCGATGGTCTCTAAAAGTCCCCGATTCTGATGGGCCGTTACTGGGATGCAGGTGGGACAGGGTGTGAATCGCTTATATAGAAGCATTTTCTGCTACTGCTCACTCTCCAAAAGCTTAGGGACCTCCGTGTTAAATATGGTCTCCTCTTCTCTGAACAAGCAGGTAGAAAGTTTTGTGAATGAGCTTTTGCTACAAAAGTCTGCGCTTGGGGTCCTTGACAGCTCTACTGATGACATAGGTCAAAGTAGGGGCTCAGGCACTCGCACTTGGCGTGGGCTGTGTGAAGGGACCAGGGCTGGCTAGGGAGGTAGAGGGGGCATTGTCTTGCCCATTCTATATCCGTATAGATCTCCCACCTTAACACTTAACCGACTATCGTGGGGCACAGGGGTGGGTAGACGGCAGGACAGAGCTTGACCCTGGTGCGTCTGATGCTGGTTTCCTTGCCATCAGCTCTAGAAAAGGAGGGTTTGGGGAGCAGGTGAAGACAGGGAATCTGACTTTGACTTTCCTCTGGCAGTGGAGTGGTTCGCAGCAGATGCTGAATGAGACACCCATATACATGTACCAGGACTGCCCAGTGCAAGGAGGCGGAGACACTGACCACTGGCTTCGTTCCAACTGGATCTACCGGGGAGAGGAGGCCTCGAGTGTCCATGTGGAGCTTAAGTTTACCGTGCGAGACTGTAAGAGTTTCCCCGGGGAAGCCGGGACTCTAGGCTGCAAGGAGACCTTCAACCTCCTGTACATGGAGAGTGATCAGGACGTGGGCATCCAGCTCCGACGGCCCATGTTCCAGAAGGTACTTTCACCCCTCGGTGCCATTTTGATCCCTACCTCACTCCTTTCCATATCCCCACTCAGCTAAGAAAAAGAGAAGGCGACAGAAACAAGAAGGTCTTGGTGTCAGATAATGAAAAAGCAGTGGGATTAGAGTTCAGTGGGATTTGAGTACCTCTTCTGCTGCATCCTGACTTTGGGCGCGTCACTTTACCTCTCTGAGCTTTGGTTTCCTTGTCTTCGCATAGTGATAGTAGTGCCAGCCTCGTCTTTTGCCGGCGTCCACTGAGATCACAGCATGCCACGGTGGAGGCGGGGAAGAGGTCTTTCAGCTTGTCCCGCTGGTATCCACCACGTTCATCCCCATGAGTATTGCTAGAGTCGTGTAGGAAGAGAGTTCTCTGCGGGCTGTCTCTCATATCATTCCTTTCTTTCCTACTCAAAAACAAACAAACAAACAAATAAAACCCACTGGAGTGCCAAAGAGTTAGAAGCATATGATGATAGGATGTTCTCACTTTTTTTTTTTCCCAAAGAGACGACGTTGTAAAATTTGTTATTAGTAATAAATGGATTATGACACACTTTATAACTGATTGCCCCATTGGCAGTGAGGCGGGGCCGCAGCTTCAAATAGTAGGAATCATATGAGCTGTAGCCCTACTGCCTGGGTTCCAAACCTAGCTGTGTGACCTCAGGCAAGGTCCCTAACCTCTCCTAGCCTTCATCTCCTTGTCTGTTAGATGGGGACAGCTATTCCTTCCACCTCTGAAGATTACTGCATGGACTCAGTAGCATAATGCACATAAAATGCTTAGCCCAGTCGCTCCCATGTAAAAGCCCTTGGTTTACGGTTGTGTAATTGTAGAGTATTAAGCAAGCAATCGTTTCTGTTGTGTGGTTGCTCCCCTCTTCCCCCGCCTTCCCAGGTCACCACGGTGGCTGCAGACCAGAGCTTCACCATCCGAGACCTTGCATCTGGTGAGATGAAAATGAACATCGAGCGCTGTTCCTTGGGCCACCTGACCCGCCGTGGCCTCTACCTCGCTTTCCACAACCCGGGGGCCTGTGTGGCCCTGGTGTCCGTACGAGTGTTCTACCAGCACTGCCCTGAGGCTGTGCACGGCTTGGCCCAGTTCCCTGACACTCTCCCCAGACCCAGCGGCTTGGTGGAAGTGGTGGGGACCTGCTTGCCCCACGCCCAGGCCAGCCCTGGCCCCTCAGGAGCCCCCCGCATGCACTGCAGCTCCGATGGCGAGTGGCTGGTGCCCGTGGGGTGGTGCCACTGTGAGCCTGGCTATGAGGAAGGCGGAGAGGTTTGCGTTGGTAAGGACACTCAAGGAGGTGGTGACAACCTGCAGGGGCCACTCTGGGGACGGGGACAGTGTCCAGGGTGCCAGGGGAGGGAGGGAAACCAAGGCTCTGTGTCAGAGATTATTTAATTGAGTGTCCAAGGGCCCAGGGAGACACATGCAGGGTGTTTCCAGTACAGGGATTGGGGGAGGGGAGTGTGATTTTTACCCCTAAAAACACCGGACAACCACGGCTCTCTCTGTGCATCCTCTCTCCAGCCTGCCCAAGCGGCTCCTACCGGGCGGACATGGACCCACCCCATTGTCTCAAGTGCCCCCAACACAGCACGGCTGAGTCTGAGGGGGCCACACTCTGCGCCTGTGAGAGCAGCCACTACCGAGCCCCCGGGGAGGGCCCCCAGGCAGCGTGCACACGTGAGTTCAGGGCGGGGCCTTTTCTGAGCCCATGTCAGCAGCGGAGTTGCCCAGAGCTTATCTGATATTGGGCACTGACTCTCTGGGGTGTCAGACACTTGAAGTTACCTCCCGGCCCCTGCTCACCACTCTCCCCCTCAAGATGCAGAGCTGAGATGACGCTGCCCTTTCCTCCGTCGGAATCTGGTTCCCTGGCGGCCTTCGGAGGACTTCAAGGATTAGGGTGGTGGGGAGCCAGCAGGGTAGGCTCCCACTCATGGCCCCTCTTCTCCCGCAGGTCCCCCCTCAGTCCCTCGAAACCTGAGCTTCTCCATTTTGGGGACTCAGCTGGTCCTGCGTTGGGCACCCCCAGCAGATACGGGGGGACGCCAGGATGTGAGATACAGCGTGGGGTGTTCTCGGTGTCAGGGAGCACTGCAAGGCGAGGGCCCCTGCCAGCCCTGTGGGAAGAATGTACACTTCTCCCCGGGGGCCAGCGGGCTCATCGAGCCTGCCGTGCACGTGGTTGGCCTTGAACCCTACACCAACTACACCTTTAATGTTGAAGCCCAAAATGGAGTGTCAGGGCTGGCCAGCTCCAAGCCCGCCAGCGCCTCACTCAGCGTCAGCCTGGGGCACACAGGTGAGGGGCCTGGGGGTGGGGCAGGGGCTGCCCCTGGAGGAAACCACAGGAACAAACTGATGGGCCGGGAGCAATCGAGAAGCTACTCAGTTAATCCCTCTTTTCTTCCAAATCCATTGGAACCCTCTGGACTCACAGAGTCTCCAGCAGGCCTGTCCCTGAGGCTGGTGAGGAAGGAGCCGCGGCAGCTGGAGCTGACCTGGGACGGGTCCCAGCCCCGCAGCCCCGGCGGGAACCTGACCTATGAGCTGCACGTGCTGAACCAGGTGAGGATGCAGCTGAGAGATTCCTCAGTTCTGTTCTTGGCCCACCCCACCATTCTAGCCTGGGGTGTGGGGTGGCTCTCTTGGGACGTAAACCTACACAGAGCCCTGCCGTGACTGCTCCGCAACCCACCCTCCTGCCTCCATGTGCTCCCAAGACCGCCCATCATCACCTCTGCGGGGTCTGGCTCTGCCCGGCCCAGTCAACATGAGGCCCCACCCACAGGATGAAGAACGGCAACAGGTGGTGCCAGAACCCAGGGTCTTGCTGACGGAACTGCAACCAGATACCACGTACACCGTCAGGGTCCGAGTGCTGACCCCGCAGGGCCCTGGCCCTTTCTCCCTTGACCATGAGTTTCGGACTAGCCCACCAGGTGGGTGGCTTATCCTTTGCTCTGCCCTAAACATGAAGGTAGCTGTCGTTCCGCTGAGGCTTCTCAGACCCCATACCAGTTAGCGGCCCTTCCTCTCTGTCTACACACACACACACACACACACACACACACACACACGCCGCTTCCAGGGGGACAGCCCCACCCAGACTCACACCAAGAAGCCCCTCCCCACAGTGATCGCAGGCACACTCTTCAACACTAGGCGCAACCAGCCAGCACCCTATCAAATCTCACCCTCAGTGGGTGCCCGGCCGCAGACAGCCTGGCTGGCAGTCCCTATGGGCAGCCCTTTCCACGGGCTCCCTCTCCCTGACGCACCTGTCTCCCCGGTCACGGGACACGCCTGAGGGCCCGGCCCCTGGGCTTGCCCAGCTGGCCTCCGCCCATCCCCGTGACTCTGTGCACCCCAGCCTTCCTCACCTTGTGTGCCACAGCTCCCAGGGGCCTGACCGGAGGCGAGATCGTGGCCCTCATCTTTGGGATACTGCTGGGCCTGGGGCTGCTGCTCGGGATCCTCGTCTTCCGCTCCAGGTGCTGCTCCTGCCCCTTCCCAGATGCCATCCTGGGCCCCTCTGTCTGGCCAGAAGCCCCTGGAAGCCATACCAACGACCCTCCCCTCCTCTAGTCCTGAAGCTCTGCTGTGCCCGCACCTTTACCCTGCGCCCCGGAAGGAGCTCAGCCAGAGCCCCCAGGGCCCCTGAGACCCTAAAGAAGCTCTCCTCTCCCTCTGCCCCGCCCACAGGAGAGGCCAGCGACGAAGGCAACAGAGGAAGCGCGATCGCGTCACCAGTGTGGATCGAGGTGAGCAGGGAGCGTGTGCACACGTGTGTGTATGTGTTGGGAGGTGCCTCTGGGGATGAGGAAATGTAGATTTCCTGGGCCAACTCTGGGGGCACAAGTGGGCTCTATTGTCTTCAGGGTTTTCGTGTTGTGCTACCTAATTAACTCTGGTTAATTAACTGCGTACGGATGGTGCCCCAGAGGCTCTGGGCAATTACTGTTGGCTGCTGGTGCCGCTGGACCGACACGCGGGCACGGGGCCGCCTCCCCCATCCCAGCTGGCTGGGTCCTTGGGCTGAATCTGGGCTGGAGGGGGATTGCTTGCTTGGCAGGCTCCCCGAAGTCCTCTGAGGCATGTAGCCTTCCTGCTGGTCACCTCATTAGGTGCCCCCAGAAAGGGCAGTCAGCAGTCCATCCAAATAATGGGGCAGGAGTGAGCTTCGTCTGGGAGTGGGAACGAGGTGTGAGTGATGTGAGGAGCATGGTGAGCGGGGGTGAGCGGGAAGGGCAAGGCACTTGGAGCCTGGGTCAGCGAGAGCCGTGGGAAGCTTGGGTAACGCGAGGCCATGAACGCTCTTGGGTCAGGTTTCTGGCCCACCGCCCTGGACCTCGCTGGGGGGTGAGGTCAGGAGGTTCGTGCACAGACAGGAGGAAGAGAATTTGGCGGTGGAGGCTTCATGGCTGAGGAGAGAGGCTTTCTCCCACTTCAGCCAAAACAGGACTCCTCAGGGAACCAAAGAATGAGAGGGAAGAGGTCTGCAGCCCGCCCCTCCCCCTCTGACCTGTGACTCTCGAGCCCTGACACCGGCGGTCCCATGGCCCAGCCTTCCCTGTTCCCCCCGCAGAGGACAAGCTGTGGCTGAAGCCTTATGTGGACCTCCAGGCCTATGAGGACCCTGCCCAGGGAGCCCTGAACTTCACCCAGGAGCTCGATCCCGCCTGGCTGATTGTGGACACCGTCATAGGGGAAGGTGAGCCCTGCCAGTCCCTCTGGGTGGCAGCACAGAGCCGCTTCCTTCCGGCCCTTCCCTGTGGAGCCCAGCTGGCCTCTCCTGTGGCCCAAGAGCTCCCAGATGAGTTCCCTCTCTGCTCTCGCCCCGTGTCCTTGGCCCTGCTGTCGCCCCCTTATCGCGTGCCTTGGAACAGCCCCCTCCTCATGCATAGTCTGCTTCTGTGGTTACAGAGTTTCTGACAAAGAACATTAGACACATCTTCCTTATCAGTGGCAGGAGGGCCAGGCGGGGGGTTGGGGGGTCACGGTGCCCAGGCTCAGGCTCTCCTCAAATGGTTCCCAAACGAGGAGGGGGTGCAGAGCCTCTCTCACCCCGCATGCCACCCCACCAGGGCCCAGTGTCCTTGGGATGCCCTGATCCCTTGGGTCACCAGGGAAAATGGATCTGAGCAGAGAACAAAGCTTGGCAGTGTCCTTGCTGATTGTGCGGCCAGGTCGGCCAAGCGGTGACCAGAGGAACTTGCTGAAGAGAGCGGCAGTGGGCAGCCTCCCTGGTCACTTGTGCTGCCGGCCCTGAACGGGCATGTCCTTCATGAGCAAACCCAGTACCAGAGCACCAGACCCAGTGTGCCCGGAGCGCCTACTGTTAGCCAAGAAGAGTGCTGAGCAGGTTGCAGAAGTGCACTCCTGTCCCCTTCCCCCGAAGTCCCACCCAGTCCTTCTTGTCCCAGAAAGGGCCTGCAAGGCTTCTGATCCAGAGAAGAACAGAGAACTGAGGGACGGGAGGATGTCATCTGTCCCCCGTGGGAAGCTTCACAGTGCCTCTGGCCATGACCCTGTTCCTTTCTACCCAGGAGAGTTTGGGGAGGTGTATCGAGGGACCCTGAGGATCCCCAGCCAGGAGTGCAAGACCGTGGCCATTAAGACCTTGAAGGACACGTCTCCAGATGGCCACTGGTGGAACTTCCTTCGAGAGGCAACAATCATGGGCCAGTTTAGCCACCCGCACATCCTGCACCTAGAAGGCGTTGTCACCAAGAGTATGAGGATTGGTTTCCCAGCATCAGGGTTGGGGGGGAGGAAGGAGGGTGGGAGACCCCCGGAAGGGGAGGGGAGATGTTTTGCCACGGGCAGGAAGTCTGGTTCTGGTGGTTTTGGGTGGAGATGGGGCGGAGGCTGCCATGGAGGTGTGCCTTGTGTCTCAGGGAAGCCCATCATGATCATCACGGAGTTTATGGAGAACGGAGCGCTGGATGCCTTCCTGCGGGTGAGGCGAGCAGAGGACCAGCCGGGAAGGGGGGTGTACCACGGAGCCCTGAGCAGAGGCGGCCCTGCCCGTGCCCTAACCCTCCCCTCACTGCACCGCGCTGCAGGAGCGGGAAGACCACCTGGTCCCTGGGCAGCTGGTGGCCATGCTGCTGGGCATTGCATCTGGCATGACCTACCTCAGTGACCACAATTATGTCCACCGGGACCTGGCCGCCAGAAACATCTTAGTGAGTGAGAACCTGTGCTGCAAGGTGTCTGACTTTGGCCTCACCCGTCTCCTGGACAACTTTGATGGTACCTACGAAACCCAGGTGATAGCCTTGCACTCACCGCATACACATTCACACGCATACTTTCGTGCCATGCACACAGGTGCACATGTACGACAAACACATACCCATGCTCCTGTGGACACACTGACTTCATGGAGGAAGGGGACTTTTTCATCCCTCCTCTAGGCCTTAAATGCATCAGCCTTCTGTGCTACATGTTTATATTAGGGAGGAAAGATCCCCATCCGCTGGACTGCACCTGAAGCCATTGCACAACGGATCTTCACTACGACCAGTGACGTATGGAGCTTTGGCATTGTGATGTGGGAGGTGCTGAGCTTTGGGGACAAGCCCTATGGGGAAATGAGCAATCAGGAGGTGAGCCCGGCTACTCTCCACACCAGTCTTCTCCTCACATCTTTCCATGGCTCTTCCTGCACGTGTCCTTTTGCCTTCTGCCTGACCCATAGTTTTTCTGCACTTCTGTCCTCTCTGTTCTCTTTACTATTGGTCAGGGGTGGGAATGGGGGGCAGGGTTAGAGGCTCTTGGGCAAGGATCCCGCACAAACTGCCAGGTTGGCTTCCTGCCTCAACCCCCGCCTCCCCTGCTGCAGGTAATGAAGAGCATCGAGGACGGGTACCGGCTGCCTCCTCCCGTGGACTGCCCCGCCGCCCTCTATGAACTCATGAAGAACTGCTGGGCCTACGACTGCTCCCGCCGGCCTTCCTTCCACCAGCTGAAGACACGGCTGGAGCAGCTGCTGGACACCCCCCACTCCCTGCGGACCATGGCCAACTTCGATCCCAAGTAACCAAGCTGGGGAGGGCGACAGGATTTGGAGGGCAGATCTAGGGGAACGGAAATGGGCTTTCGGCCACAGCCACCAAGCGCTGGGCCTGCACAGCTCCGGACACAGGGCATGACCACAGCCTGCGCCCTAGGGGAGCGGCCCCCCTCGGTGGAGGAGTGGCGGTCCCACCCTTGATAGCGGTAGTTTAATGGAACATAGGAAGCAAACAGTGAGATGGGAAGCAGATACAAAGAGAGCTTACAAACTGATACCTGCTCTGGCGAGCTTGGTTGCTTAGACTGGGGTGGGGACGACAGAGACTGGCAAGTGATAGGCAGTGGAATGACTGTCATAACTGTGAGGGGCAGCCATGTGGGGCCTGGGGAGGCTCCCAGATCACGTGCCCAGCATGGGTTCGGGGAGCTGGGGGCAGGCTGATTGCAAACAGTGCAGGGTGATGGCAGCTGGCAGTGCCCAGTCCCGGGGACAGTGGCCAGAGATGAAGCTGGAGAGTTACCAGCTCTGCAGAGAAGTTTGGACTTTATCCTGAGCACTGAGAACTATTGCCCCATTTTAAAAAACTGCCCATGGGAAGGACATGGTCAGAACTGCATTTTACGAAAAACATTGGCAGGATGTGGAGAAGGAACCGGTGGGGGGAGGCGGAGGAGACGGGCAGGGCTGGACGTCAAAGGCTTTATCGGGTAAACCAGCCCTGGCATGCCGGCCCCTGTATCAAACCACCATATATAACCTTGTTTCTGGGAGAAAATGTGCTCCAACTTTTGAAACTATCTTTTGGAGCACAACTCCCTCGCACACTGGAGACTGCATGTGCTAATCTTTCTGGAATGTTGGATATTTTTCCCCCAGTAGATTTACTTTGCTAATGGTTTTTGGCTCTGGCTGGCGCTAGCACAGGAACACTCATTGTATTGTGGGTGTCCGAGTGCAAGAATAACAGCCAAGGTTGGAGGTGGCAATCAGGGGCTGCGCCCAGAACTCGGGGGCCACCCTGAAAAGAGGCAGGACCACACCCGGGTCCCAGGCCCCTGCTTCGTCTCAGCTGGGATAGTTGATACATTCATGTCTTATCCAGCCCCTCACCTATTGCCCAGACTGGCCGCACTAGATGGGCTGGTAGTAGCCTTGTGTTGGGAACTCGCAGGGCCGCCACCTCCCCCGCCCCGGGCTGTCCATCTGCTGCCCACTGCTCAGAGCACACCAGGAAGCCGGCCAGGAAATGGGTTCACAGACAATGGCCTGGCTAATCCACAAAGCCTTGATAATCTCTGCGCCCAGACACCAACTAGAACGCTGGCCGCAGCAGCTCACAGGCTGAGCCCGGGGACTTTCAGGAAAGCCGAGGACAGCCCCTGCCTCCCCGCCCGACTGAGGCAGCCCATGTCCCGTAGGGTCACCCTGCGCCTGCCCAGCTTGAGTGGCTCAGACGGGATCCCCTACCGAAGTGTCCCCGAGTGGCTGGAATCCATCCGCATGAAACGCTACATCCTGCACTTCCGCTCAGCCGGGCTGGACACCATGGAGTGTGTGCTGGACCTGACGGCCGAGTGAGGACCCTGGGGGGCCCGGCAGGGGAGGGAGGCTGGGGTTTGAGCCTGCACACTCAGCAGCCTTCTTCCTTGACCACAGGGACCTGGTGCAGATGGGGATCACGCTGCCCGGACACCAGAAGCGCATTCTTTGCAGTATTCAGGGATTCAAGGACTGAGCCCTCCCCTTCCCAACCTCTGTTCTCAGGCAGCCAGGACGGGGCCAGGGTCACTCATGTCCCTTCCCTCGGCTGACCAGGCCTTGGTGCTGCTCCCGCCCGCCCTTCCCTGAGGAACTTGTCTCTGGAGCCTGGGAGCCTCTCTGTTTTCAAAAGGGAGATTGGGGTAGAAGTAAAACAGTAGAGCTGGGAGGGAGCTGAGGGAGGTGGGGGTTAATATATATGTATATATATACATATATATACACATACACATATATATATTTTTATAAATAAACAGGAGCTGAGTTTTCACCTTGACCCCTGGTCTTTTTATCCCGCCATCTCCTCCATCTAGTAGCACAAAAGAGTCAACTGCTAAGAATTCTGGAAAAGAAGGATTTTTATTTGTAGCTGTAGCCACAGCCTGGCAGCATGGGGGCAGGTGGGAATGTCCAGGCCAGTGAGCCCAGCCCCGCCCAGCCTCCCCGGGGCCCCGGGGCGGGGTCCGGGCCCCCAGCAAGCAGAGCAGAGGCTGCTCAGGCGCCAGTGGAGGGCATCCCAGCTGAGGGCATCGGTGCAGCAGTGAAAGCAGTGCCCCACCTGGCGACCCCCAGGCGGGGGCCTGGACGGTGGTGGGAGCCCCTGCGGGAGCGGGGAGGACTGGAAACCCAGGACTGGGACTCGGCAGCCTGGGCCGTGTTTGGGCCCCTGGGTCAGGGCCGTTGGGATACTGGGTGGGGTTTGGAATGGAGGGAGGGGGCAGGGCCAGTGGCGGGGCAGGGCGGTCTCAGTGGGGGTGGTCCGCTGATGGGGAACCGACTCCCCGCGGAGAAGGGGCCAGTCCTCACTCAGGTCTAGGCTCTGGCCGTGTGGCACTTCCGGCAGAGCACGTGGCCGTCCAGGGGGAAGCAGCCGTTGTCGTCCGCCTCAATGGACAGTGCCTTCCCACAGTCCTGGGAAGGGGAGAGCGCACTGGTGGGAAAGGCCCCTGTGCTCCCCACGCACCCCCTCGTTCGCAGTGGGAAGACCAGGCGCTTCATGGAGTGCTCATTGTCTGTGCCCCCGCCCAGCTACACCCACCCCAACTCACCCCCACTTTCACTTTTGTCCCCTAGCCTCCAGTCCCAGGATGGGCAGTTGGCAGAGCGGCGCCCACCCCAATAAAGGACGTGGGGCCTCTCCCACCTGTCTTGGCTCCATTCTGACTTCCTTCCTCTGAACCTCACTGAGACCCCAACCCCGCTGCAACAAAGCATGGCACCCACCACTGTGCAGCTGCCTATCTTGGTTGATCTGCAGCTCGGTGGCCCCACAGAAACCCCACACTCCCTCCCCGCAGTCACCAAAGCATCTGGGCTGGGCGGGCCTGGGCACTGCCACTGGCCACCCTCAACACTGCTGGCCGGCCCTGTCAGCCACCGGGCGGGGCCCGCAGTGTCCCCACACTGCCCAACCCTCCGGGGTCACGGGGACACTGACCTCACACTTGTAGCACTTCATGTGGAAGTTCTTGTCCAGAGCGACCACTCGCACAGTCTCCTCGCGGCCAGGCTCAGGCATGATGGGTTCCGCACAGACAGAGCACCTGGGCGCGTACTGCCTGGAGGGCGGCAGGAAGGCACGAGTTGGGGTGCGGGAGAGGCGCGCGGGCTTCCCCCCACCCCTAGCTCAGGGAGGGGAGACAGCGGTGGCACAGCCACAGGCTGACTGCTTTGCCCACCTTGCCCCACATCCCGGGGTCGGGGAAGCCCTACAGGAGGGCCTAAGACCAGCCGCCGTAACTGCTTTCATCAAGGGGAACTTCCCGCCTCGCCTCTCCCCTCACCTCCCCAACGCCCCCTCAGCCCCCAACAACTACCTCCAGGTCCTCACCCCCATCACATCCACCCTGCAGAAAGCACACCCAGAGGTGCCCATTCCTGGGCCCCTGAGCCCAGCCCACCCCCACCACACAGGTGCCTCTGACCGACGGCTGGCAGTACAGAGGGAGGTGACGTCCTGGCCACCCACAGTGGAACCCTGAAAACGCGCACCTCAAGCACAGAAGCAGGAGCCAGGTTCTGCAGGGTCCCTGGACTGCCCTTTAGCTACCTTACGGGACTGCACTGCTGGCCTGAGAAAGCGGCCACCTTGTAAACACTTTCTAAGGGGAAACCACAGTTCCAAACAACAGGTCTCCAAAAGAACTTGCAGAGCCTAGCCTGCGTGTGAAACGCAGTCACCCCAGCACATGCTGCTGAACCCATGACCGCAACAGAGAGGGGCCTCCCCAGGGCCAGGGGACTGGCCAGGAGCAGGACTTGCTGCCCAGGCCTAAGGCATCTGGACAACTAAGTCCAGATGAACTGGTCTCTGCCATCTACAAACAGGGTGTGGGCCGGAAGGCAAGACCAGAGGTATGGAGCTGTCTTGGGGTCAGAGGGGCGGCCTGGCTCCCAGGAAAACCACGGCTGGCCCCAGAGAAGAGCCCAGAAGGGGCGGTGGGTCCTCACTTGTGGTAGTCGGGGACGCAGTGGGGCCGGTTGGCCTGGTCCACGATGAAGGAGGTGCCTTCCAGGGGGCAGGCGCAGACCACACAGGTGAAGCACTGCGGGTGGTAGGCTTTGCCTGTGGCCCTCAGCATGCGGTCAGTGATGGGCTGGCCACAGGTGTTGCACTTCTCCAGGGTGTCCTGAGGAGGCAGCAGTAGGAGGTGGGCAGGGGGTGGCCAACTGCCAAGCCACATGGGCCCCACGTCCATCCCACCCCCGGCTGAACCGGGGGGTGGCCCTCAGCCCCAACCCTGACTCACAGTGTAGCAGCGCTCACAGTACGGCGCGCCCTCCAGGCTGTAGAACTGCTGTCCTTGTAGTTGCTGCTCACACTGGTGGCAGGTAAAGCAGGCGATGTGGAAGAGCTGTCCCAGAGCACGAACTGCGGGCTGCGCACGTGCCAGGGGCTGGTGACACCGGCCACAGGACTCTGGAAAGGCCGGAAAAGAATGAATAGGAGGAAGCTTGCAAAGGATCGGCTGGCTCCCACAGGGAGTGGAGCCACAGCTATGGCCAGAAGTCACAGAGCGGGAGACAGACATCCCGTGGAGGGGGCAGGGACTCACCATTGACAGCCACGTTCTGCCTCTGAGGATGCTCCATGTCCTGCATGAGCTTCTGGGTCAGCTGCTCCAGCTCCTCCACCTCCTTCAGAGTCAGAGGTCCTGGGGCCCCTGGGGAGCGCACCTGAAACCCCAACACTCTCTTTGTACCCTCTCAAGGGTCCCCCCCGCTCTGAGAACATTCCCCAACCAGCTTATCCACTTTCTTCCAAAAAGGGCTAGCTCCTCTCCCACTTCCCAGATGCTCAGGGTTAACCTGAAAGCTCCTCATTCCCTGCCCCAGACCCCAGCACCACAAGAGTTAAGGGGAAGGGGATGACCCTTCCACCCGCTTTGCCCAACCCTCCCTCGGCAGCCACAGACAGGCCAGAAGGACTGAGCGGACGGAGGCCACGCACACAGCAGCTCAGGTCACGGAAGCACTGAACACACCAGGCCACGCATCAACTACACAGAGCATGCTCGGGCATGGCCCCCCCAGGGAAGAGGTCGGCGAGGGCCTGTGCGCCCAGGTGCGCGCACACCTACCCGTCCCGCCTGCTGCTGGGCAGCCCTGACAGCGTGAGGATGCAATACAGGCGGGAATCACAGGTTAAACCCCCAGGGCTGTCTGCAGCAGCCCAACCCCCAGCCCCCCAATGGAGGTCAGGGGTCTCCCCTGAGACAGGGTTCCCGGTCTACTTGACCTCACATCCTCCCCTGGAGGCCTCGGAGAAGGGCCTATCCTAGGCCAGCCCCACCTATTTAGGGGATCCCGAGAGAGCTGGGGTCAGGGAGCAGGTAAAATCAGGGGGTCCTGCAGGGACCCTGGAAACTCCAGGAGGAGGTGCCACAGGGGCTGTCTGACCTGCGCCAGCATGGCCATGAGACACTCCCGTGGGAACGCTGGTTGTTTTCCATTACCGGGGAAGCCTGCCCAGGGCTGTGGCCACTGAACGCCCTGCCTGCCCTTGCCTTCATCCCCACAACGCATGGAACCGCAGCCTCCCAGCTCCCTCCTCCCACAGCCACCTTCCTCCTGGCCTGGGCCGCACCACCTCACCCTCTCTGGATCCAGACAGGGCTGCACCTGCCCAGAAAAGCAGACCCAGAGGAGTCCCAGCTCTCAGCTCCCTCAACAGCCAGCCTTCCCTCTCTGCCTGCCAGCACGTGTCCGGGCTTCAACACCCACAGCACTCAATCCTCTAACTCCTCAGCCCCAATGGCTCCGAACGTCTTCCATCTCAGGCACCTTCCGCCATGGGACGCCCTGGACCCGAGAGTCATAAGTCTCTCTACCTCCAAGACCTTGGGCTTGACCTCCAACTGGACCTCCTCCCCCTTTCCCATGCGTCCCCACTGAAGGAACCTACTCAGAAGGGCTTTGTTTTCCTGCCTCCCGGCCCTCCCTGTGGGCCTCCCCCCAAGCCCGGCCCCCTGACCACCTGTCTGTACAAGGCTCTTACCACCCTTGGCCACCATGGCTCATCTGCCCAACCTCAGCCCCAGCCATACCACCCACTTCCTGTTTCTGCCTCTGGGCTCAGAAAGTCAATACAGAGATCCATAAAGGCTGCAGAGTGAGTTCGCAGGGCACCGAAGGGCCTTGGGCGCCCTCCAGCCCCAGCCAGGCCGTCTGGCTTGCGGCTCCTGCGGGTTCGCAGCGACCTTCCCTGCAGCAGCTGCTGAGAACCTCTTCCATCTCCTCGAGCCCCTCGCTCCCTCACTCTCACCGATGACCTCACCTCCTACATGACTGAGGGGATGGAAGCCAGCCAGCTCAAGCTCCCTCAGTGTCTCTCCTCTCCACAGAAAACACTGCAGTGACACTGTCCTTGCTCTCTGGGAACGCCACGGGATGGGGCCATATCACCGCCGTTCCTCCGGACTCCATCCCAGCAGCAGCCGCTGCTCTCAGGCCACTCGAGCCCCTCCTCCATCAGCTTCCTCCTCCTGCTTCACACACACACTGGAGCCTCCTGCCCCTAACTTGAAAAAAACCCTGCACACCCAGGCCTTGCCCTAACCGGCATCTCTGCCAGCCTCCGAGAGCAGGCTCCTCTGGAACCTTCATTTCTAACCGCCCATGCAGCCCTCAACTGCCTTCACTGTCCCCACAGATGGACCGCCCTGCCGCCATCGGTGACTTCCAAATCGTCACATCTGTGGCCTTACTGTGCCACATGCTCCTCAAACCCCCACTGAAGAGTTCCTCGCCGTCACATTCTGTCCCTGAGATGCCACCCTGACTGATGCTCCTCCTCCTTCTGCCATTGCTCCCCTCCCACGTGGCAGACGGGAGCACCCCTCGAGGTTCCGAGGTTCCTACGAGGTGCTCAGCTCCATCTGTGTGAGCGCCTCAGGCTGCTTTGGTACCACTGCCCCCGAGAACAGAAAACCTCGAAAACCCAGGCCTCCATTTCTAACTGAATGACAGTTCCAGCTCAAGGAGCGTCCTCCTGGAACCTGTTGCTCAACACGCTGACAGCTGGACCACCTCCCGCCCCCGCACGCTTCCGGTCCAAAGTATTTCCCCTTATGCACTTCTCTATTTTGTCAAAATACCAGCATTCATTCCACAACACACCCAGGCATTTTTTCACCCTCCCCCTCCTCTCCCAACTGCTTATCAGTTACAAGGTCCTGGAGGCATTTCCTTTGCAACAGCTCTTATCTAGGCCCAGGAGTGAATCCTAACAAGTCCCTGACCTCCTGCCTCTAGTCCACACCTCTGCTGGAAACACTCCCCAAAGCTTCCAAAGGCAGGGCCATCACCAGGCCTCTGACCCAGCCACACACCTGCCGGAACACCAGGCAGGACCTGCCAGGACTGACAGGCTCCCTGGAGCTCCCACCTACCTCTCTCCAGCTCTGTAACTTCCCAGAGGAGCCTTCTACTTTCCAGTCTCCAAACACTCTGGTGCAGCTGTGCCCTTGAGTTTTGCTCACGCTATTCCCAGCCCAGTGCCCTTCGCTTTCCCCTCTGGATTCTGAAGTCTGACCATCCTTCGAAGCGCACCAGCGCCATGACACCTTTCCTAATGTGCCAGCCACATGCTGACTCCCTGCTCGGAGCTCCAATAACACAGGATTCTGCCCAGCTCATGGGTACTTGGCATCTCTTCCTGCCCCGTCCTTGACTACAGACGCCGACATTCCTGCTGCTGGTTGGACTAGGCGACCAGCAAGCTCCCTTCAACTCGTAAGTTCTCATCTCCTGAACTAGAAGGCAGGAATGAGGACTTTTCAATTTGGGGTGCTCATGTGCAAGATAAAGATACCAGCCCTTTCTATGCGTTAGCTCACTTAAGCTTCATACCCATTGCATGGGATGGATAGTGTTATTCCCAAGATGGGAAAGTGATGTTCCAAGTTCACCTCACTTGCCTAGGACCTTGTGAGGTGGGGAGCTGGGAATTCTATCCCAGGTCCAGCTGACTCCCTCCGGCTTAGCCTCTTTGAGAGATCTCTTCCGCCCTGAGCACAGAGCACAGTGCCTGGCACTCAGCAGACCCTGGCTCAGCCAGTGCGGCAGCTCTTATCACTAGATGGGCCCTCCAGCAGACAGACAGAGCGCTCAGAGAAACAGAGAGATTAACTCAAGAATCCAAGAGGGTAGATGAACCCTCACTGAACTGGTGGTGATGAGCTCATCCTCCCCTTTAACAATCTGGGACAGGTGAAAGGGATGGTCCACCAAACCCGCTGCCAAATTCACAGCCTGCACTGCTCCCCACTCCCAGCCAGGCCCCACTCGCCGCCCTGGCCCCGAAGAGCTGTCTCTTACCATGTCCCACCAGACCAACCCTAAAGGCTGGAAACGCCCATCCCACCAACCCCACTCACTCATCTTTGCCCTCATCCTCTGGCTCCTGACATACCCCCTGCTCCCTGCCCCCAGGTCTCAGCATGGCCCTCCCATCCTCCCTCACCTGGTTTTGGTTTTGAGCCGGCGGGGGCACCGGGTGCTGCTTCTCCTGCACTCGGGGCTTCTCTCTCTGCTGAGCATAGGTGAAGCTGGGGGGCTGAGGGGAGCCTGTGCCAGCGGAAGAGGGGGCTGGAGGGGGCCCCAGCTTCTGGTTTGGCTGGGACCCAGGTCCACCTGGGGCTCCAGGGCTGAACTTGGAAGCCACAGGGGTGAACTTGGGAGTGACTGGAGAAAACTTAGGGGCTGGAGATGGGGCTGGGGGACCTCGAGGCTGACTGTTAGCCAAAGGCACAGGCTGAGGCTGGGGCTGGGGCTGGGGCTGGACATGGAGCTGGACCTGAGGCTTGGCCTGGGGCTGGGGTGGGTGATGCATGTGGCTTGGAGGCTGAGGCTGAGGCTGAGCCTGGGGCACAGGCTGGGAGCTAGGAGTCTTCCAAGGAGGCAGGGGTGCCGAGCCCCCGGCTGCGGGCTTAGGGCTGGTTTTGGGAATGAGTGGGGTGCTGACAGGTGGGGGCACATATCCAGATGAGACCTGCAGGGGAGAAGGAGAGGTAGAGAAGTATGGTTGGGGGAGGGTGCTGCCCTCCCCAGTTCTGTCCCCACGCCTGTCCTCCTCCCCTGTCACTTACGCGGGCTTTGAAGGGATCATTCCTGGTCATGTCATCCAGCAGTGAGGACAAGGAGTCTATCTCCAGGTCAATGCTGCTCACCTTCTCCCTGGGCTAGAGGGTCAAGGGTCAGAGCATCCATCCCAGTCCTCCATTCCCACCACCGTCCACTGCCCCCAAATCAGAGCAGAGTGCAGAGGGGAGGTCAGAGAGAAGGACCCTCCTTTCCCTCCCCTGGGGGTGTTTCTGCGTAGCTGCCCCTCCCAGGCCTCCATACCTGCGGTTGGTGCGGGATGTGAGCCTCGGGCCCTCCCTCCTCCAAGGGAGGCGGTGGGGAAGGGAAGATCTCCTCCTCCAGAGGCGCAGGGGGAAACGGTTCCTCGATCGGCGGAGGCGGGGGTGGGAAGGCACCTCCCAGGGTGCCCTCCGCGTCCTCAACATCCCCAGGAAGGGGAGGGGGCGGTAAGGGGAGGTCTGGGGTAGGAGTGAGAAAGGGAGAAGTCAGCAGGGGCCCCTCTACCCCCTTCCCTAAGTTCCCCTCCTTCTACAGCTGCAACCCCTCTCCCAAACACTCTCTCAAGGGTCCCGGGGCGTGTGGGAAGGAAACGGGGGCGCAGAACACCCTGCGAGCACTGGGTCAGGAGCGGCCGGGGGCTTGGCGCAGAAGTGGTGCAGCTCCCGTTACGCTTCGGAAAACGGACCCGGAGGGAAGATTCGTGCCCCACATTCCCACCTCCCACCCCCAGGCGGGGGACTTGGACCAGTCCCAGGAGCCCTGGCTCCCAGCCATGAGCTCCAGGATGAGGTAAGAACATCTGCTCGGGACAGGGTGGCTGCGCCCAGCCCCCTCCGCTGCAACCTTTCCAGACACCCCCAACCCCGAAGCCACTGCCCCCAGCCCGGCGCCCGCGCTAGTCCAGCCCCCGGCCCCGCCGCATACCTTCCGGGGGCGGCGGGGGAATCTCGCCCACCCGGCCCATCTGTGCGCGCTGGGCCCCGCCGGCTGGGAGAGGCTCGCTGTCCCCGGGCCGAAAGGGATTCACTTTGGGCTTCGGGGCCACCACGGGGCCAAACTTCTTCTGCGGGGCGTAAAACGCCGGAGCCGAGACCGAGACGGAGATCGCGGGAGACGGGCGGGGGGCCGCCATGGCCAGGCCGAGCTGCTGCGGGTGGGTGCCCGGGTTACGCGGCGCCGAGCCGGGCGGAGGACCCCCTGGCGGGCCCAGCTTCCCTCGGCGTCCCGGCGTCCTCTCCCCGTGGGCGGCTCCTCGCGCCTCACCGCGGGCCGGAGCGTGCGCGCCGCCTCTCGGGTGGCCGCCTGGGCGCCGGGTCCGCGGACTCCGCGTCCGGGTCCAGCGCCGCCTTTAGCACGGCGGGGGAGGGACGCGGGGCCGTGGGAGGAGGGAGGGGGCGGGGAGAGCGCGGCGCCGAGACCATACAAGGAGCGGCCCGGAGAGGGGGCGGGGAGAGGCAGGGAGGGCGGACCGGGCGGGAAACTCCCCCAGGAAGGGGCCCTGGTCCTGCCCGTGGGCCGCAAGCTCAGCCAAGGTCCCCCCCGCCCCGCCCCCGCCGCCCCGCCCGCCGCGGACCACCCCTCCCTGGGCCCAGGCCTCTGATGTCATTTCCTGATTTGCCCCCCTCCACGCCAGGCTCGCGGTGCCCGAGGTCTGATTCACCGTCCCCACTCCGGGATACGCCGGCGGAGGTCAGGCGGGTGCCCCGGGGGTGCAGCCCTCGGCGACTCCGCCCCGGCCCAGTCCCCTCCCCTCCGGGCCTGCCGTTACCTGTGCCTGCCACCTCCCCACCCAGCTGCTAGCCCCGCGCCCCAAGTCCCCTCCGGGGCGGCCGGGATAGGCGCCCCTGCGGGGAAGTGGTCTCCAGGGTGGACCAGGACGGTGAGTGGGCGTCCTCCCTGCCCACGCCCCCCAGGCCCTTCTGGGACTTGGAAGGGGGTGTGTGAGCACGAACCTCAAGGATCCTTAAGGGATTCTAACTTGAAATGCTGGGCAGCCCCTTCAGGCTTCTAGGAATTCGCATCATCCCACCCCCGCCTGCAGAGCTGTGAATATTTGCGTAAGGGACAGGCAAGGACTGCAGAGCCGGGGCGTGAAAGTGCGGGGGCGGAGGGCGGGGCGCGGAGGCGAGGGCGGCCGGTGAACCCGGGCTCCGGGAGGAAGGGCGTGGACAAGGTGGCCCGTCCTTCGACGGTTCTTAAGCGCCCACAGTGACCCCTCAAGGAGCCTTTGGGGGGCAGGGCAGCCCTCGGGGGATTCGGACACTGGGCGTTCTGTGGAGCCCCCCACTGGCCTGACTGGATTGCTCGGCCTTGAAATCTGCCCCAGGCTACGCAGAAGGAACAGACCTGGGGTAATTGAAGACGGAAACTTAACCAAATTGCCGCTTGGATTCTTGCACACTCACAGCTTACAAACTATGGAGTCATATGGCCTTTGGGCCTGTAAATGCAACAGATCACCCTCGAGCGCTGCCCTTTCTCTGCCATCTAAGAGAGGCAGAGAAAGTAGAGTTAGCCCCTTGTCCAAACTCTACTGTTTCAGGTCCTGGCCCTTCGAATTGGCTACAGCCTACCGTCAAGGAGCACCGGGGCTATGCCCTAGGCATCACCAAGACCCACCGCGAACATTCACCAGGAGAAAACAGGCTGCGAGCTTAAGAGAGGGGTCCGGCATCACACCCAGGTAGCCCCAAGGTCTAGGTTAGAACTGAGTGTCTCCAGAACTCTAATGTCAGAGCTCACTCTCCTAACCCCGGGGTCAGGTGAAGCGAGGCTGGAGACAGGAATGCAGAATGGGGTCAGGGCGCAGAGACCGGCTTGAGTGTCCAAGTCTCCTCGTTCTCTCCACTTCATTTTCTCGGTGTGTGAAAGAGTGGTGATATTTAATCCACTTACCTTATTGCATTATATGGAGAAATAAATGAAATTCAATATCTGAAGTGTTATATAATACTTGGTGTTATTATCCAAGTCCCAGTTCTGCCCAGAATGGAAATTCTGACAGGTTAACCTAAGGCCGTTATTCCAAATGTCCTCTCTGAGTTGCCAAACTGACCTCTCATGGGCCTTCGGGTATGCAATGCTCCTTCCTTGAACCTTATCAAATACTTAATTATGCCTCATGCTAGACCTTCACCTTCTCAGACCCACTGATCGTTCTTCTCTCTGGTGTCTTATTGCCTTTGTCACAGGTGTCTCACGCCACCATAAGCATGTGTGGCCATGTATGATATAAAACACGCTGTGCAGACAGACCTCTGACAGGTATAAGCTGGTCCTGGGCATGTCCCTGTGAAGATCGGCTAGAAATTTGATTCTTTGCGTGTTGGAAGTTGTGTCTTGGGTTTTGCAGACCGCAAGTCTCTGCCAATCCTTCAAAATTACACCCACTCGGGAGGAAAAAGTTAGGAGGATGGTTTCCAGATCGTGTCACAGAGGAAAAGCCGCCTGCAGTCCAAACATCGCCTTAAGGAATGTGCAAGTGCAAAATATAGTCTGTTTAATTGTTAGGCAGCTGAATGTATTTATAAATCAAGAATGGAAGAGAGCGTGGGCAGGCTTGGCTTTACTGACAACAAAAAGCATTTAGGATGCAGAATATTAAAGCTAAGGGTTTCCAGCCAGCCAATCTAAATACAAATAGAAACACACCAGGTATCCCAGGAGGACAGGTTCACTAGGCCAGGATGTCCCGGGAGGAGCCGCAGGGCCTATTGATGTTAAAATGCACACAGTGAACAGGAGCAGCCCAAATGATTTTTAGGTATTTTTAAGTAAGCAATTCTAACTGATCTCCTCAGGTAGTATATGTAAAAGGTAGCAGGGACACAGATGTTCCCACCTAATCATTTCCAACAGCTTGGGACCAGGCAAGAGAGGGGAAGGAAAAAAAATGGGCAGGAAACCTTGCTACTTAAAACATCTCTACACACCTCCGAGAATTTATGTCCACCAGATACCAGAAAGTTTTCTTCAAGGTCACACAACGTAAAGTAAGCAGTTAGAAGCAGCCAAAGGGCGGGAGGAGGGGGAGGTGAGGAAGGAACAAAGGCAGTGGAAAAAAAAAAAGAATTTTCTGAAATGAAAAGAAACACCATCATGTGGTTCTTCCCATATGCTGGCTGTAGATGGACGGAGGGTTAACTTTGTGCCAGGCACAGTGCTAGGCACTCTAACAACGGCAAGAACAGCCGCCTCCATAACAACAACAACATCAGCAATAATGACACAATGATAAAGCTTAGTATGCGACACTAGGTACAGCACCAAACACTTAAAGCATATAACCTCCATTTAATCCTCACAGCAAACCTCTGAGAAATGTACATCATGATCCCGTTTGTCAGCTAAGGAAACTGAGGCCAAATAGCTGTTGCATTTCTCACCTCTGAAACTGCCCCCCCAAAAAATGTAATGCAAATATTTTATTATTTGAAGGCACCTCTGCCCTCCGCTTACATCCCTGCAGCCCTCACTTTTCCCTCCAGGAGCCCTGGCTCAATATGTCAACAGCCTCCTCAGGTCAGCCTCCGAGTCCAGCCCCCACCTCAAGTCTTTGGGCCACCGTTTTCTTTTTCCATCACCTGGTGCCATCGAATTCCCTCTCTCTATTATATAGAAACAGAGGTAGAGGGAGGGAAGGGGGGAAGGAGAGAGCTTTATATAATATAGCCTTTCCAGAAGGCTTCTCCAAGCATTGTTAAAAATGGTTGGTGTTAGGGTATAGAATTGGGGGAAGGCAAAAAGCTTTTTCTTTGTTTATCCTCACCCAAGGACTTTTTTTTTTCATTGCTTTTAGAGAGGGAGAGAGGGAGAAACACCGATGTGAGAAACATCGATTGGTTGCCTCCCCTACGTGCTTGGACCACCAGGGACCAGACCTGCAACCCAGGCCATTTGTCCTGACTGGGAATCGAACCCACGACTTTTTGGTTAACAAATGACACTTCATCCAACTGAGCCACACCAGCCAGGCTGGAAAGCTTTTATAACTGTTGACTTTTTCCCCATAAACATGAATAGCTTTTGTAATTTTAAAAAAGGAAAAGAAAGAAAAATGACAGAGCCAAAAGCTCTTGCTCCTAACATCAGAGTATTTTCTTTTCCATTTTCTCCCACATTTGCTCCCCTCCTAGTCCCACTTGCATTGCTCGTCACGACAAAAGACTCTGTCACTGGTGGGGGTGCAGACACAGAGGAGGGGTTGGGCAGGAATGGGGGCAGGGGAGGGGGAGCACCCAGAGAGACCCAGGGACCTTTGAGGCAAAGCCAAGGAAGAGCACCTTCTTTCTCTGCCCCAGGGACCCACCCCAGCCCACCCCCAACCCCAGCGGAAGGGATGGACTGACAACCACAAGTGGCCCCTTTTTCCTCCTTTCTTCCAGGTAGCCTGACATCCGGGCATCATCCTCTGTGTACTTGCCATTCCCCAGCCTCGGTTCCACCAGGACTTACCAATAACTTCTATATTCTACACACTCTGGATGTACTACGACTTTCCAGAAACTCTCCATTTAAAGTCCAAAAACCTTAAGCAGATATCTTAGGACAGTAAAGGGTTAAGATTAGGAAAAAGTTTCACCCTCCCAGAAGCTCTGGCTTGGGGTGGCTGGGCAGTCTTCTCGCCATTGAGACCTCACTGTTACGGCCCCACGCAGTCGGGGCCCCGGGAACAGCAGCAGAGCCTGCACAGGGCGCGTGGGGAGCAGGGCCCAGAGGAGTGGCGGAAGGCAGGGGTCCACACCTCCCGGGGCCGGAGCCAGATGGGCACCCAAAGGCACTGCAAGTGTCAGCAAGCAGCAACGTGTGGTGGCCGCGGGGGGCAGCGCTAGGCAGATGGTCAGGTGGCGGAGAGTCAGCGGCCCAAGGAGTGGGGAAGGGCAGGCAGGAAAGGAGGCTGAGGGCACCAACAGCAGCGCAGGCAGGTTGCTGGCACCGAGGCGGCTGCTAGAGAAGCATCTGCTGCCTTTGCCTGCCTTCTCCCCGAACCCAGGGGAAGCCAAAATCAGAGAGCCTGGCCTGGAAGCTCCGGTGTTTGTCACTGAAAATAGCTGACTAAGTCACTAGGGGAAGTAAACATTTCAAGCTGTAGGAGGTTAAAGTTCAGTAGATAACCGAGCTGTTTGAGATGAGAAGTACTTACGTTTCTCGAGTGGCTCCCACCCACCTCCGCTCCCTTTAATAAGGAGGGTTTACTACGAAGACACCCATCAGAGTCACCCAACAGAGGAAGTGGGTGCTTCTGAGCAAACCCTCAGAATGCCTCAGCCACCCCTTCCTGCCTGCCACCCAGGGGTGTGATGAGTGTGGCAGATGGACACGCGCTCA